GTATGGGACTGACGGAAAGGTCTGTCACCGCCCCGTTCTGCATGCTGCAGCGAAGTGTACCACAGAGGGCCGTGGGACCAGATTGATTTTGAATTAGGTGCAATACACTTTCTCACCACTAGTAGCAGTAGTGCACCACTCAGATGTTTAACAACTTTTTAATATGTAGAAGAAGAACCTTAGAAACCTGCTGAGAATGGAAACTTATTTTAAATGAAAAGTAGAAACAAAAATGAAAGTAACTCATCAAAAAACACCAAAGTTTTTGTATTTGTTCAAATAATTGTTATGGGCAGGTTACAATATAAAAATGTTTGTCATAATCATGTCTTGTGATTATTTGACAGGAGTTTTACTTTTAAACTGTAAGTGTATTTTATTTAGTTATGTTAGTTATGATAGTTTAGTTATGATGTAAATACAATAAAAATTAAACCAATATTTAGAATAATTATCATTTTGATCCATACATTAGTAATGTCTGACTGGACCTCGGGTCACTTTATGTTCAATAAATTGGGCCCTGAGGTCAGAAAGGTTCAGAAGCCCTGGTCTACATGGCTGCAGCAGCCTGACTGAAACATGCCCATGTTCAGTACTGGAGATGCTGAGGAGCAGGGAAAGTCTTCTCTCCAGTAGACAGTAGTCTTTGTTGAGGGTCAATGTCCACACTGAGCATTTCTCACAATGTTCACGTCCACTAAAACTATAAATCTGTGAACTAAACAGTTCGGTGTCTTCCTCCAGTTCCATGAGAAGCCACGTCCTGAACATGAACTTTGAGACTCTTTTTCACTTCATCATCAGCGTTTAAATTATATAAAGAGTAACAAAAACAAGAAAACTGAAGAGAAGAAAACTAAGAGAAAAATCAAAGAAAACATCCAAGTTCTGACATGACAGTGGCGGTACAGAAACAGTTCCAGCTGGTCCTGACTGAACCGGTCTCTACCAACATAAAAACATGCAGCCTTCTACGGTTGTGTTTTACTACTCAAACAGGACGACTCTGTGTAAGAGCCACACGTGAAGTGATGAAGAGAACCTGAACTCACCCTGTGTGGGCGGGGCCAGCCATATGTGAGGTAGGTAGGCTTTCAGCTTCATCTGGGGGTGTCAGGGAGCTGGACTCCAGGCTGGGGTGTCCAGCAGGCTCATCATTAGGAGTCTCTGCTTGGGGCAGGCCTGGCTCTGTTTCTGAAGGCAGGGAGGCTGGAGCTTCCTGGTCCTGGTCTTGTGTGTGGGTCTGTAGGTCTGAGTCAGCCTGGGACTCTGGGCTGGGTGCAGGCTTAGGAACAGCAGGTATAACGTCCAGTTCTGGGTCTGCTTTAGTCTCCTTCACCTCTTCTGGCAGATTCACAGTCTGGTGAAAGATTACACACAGGACCACTTTAATCTGCAGTAATCTGCAGTAAAACTAAAGTAAAACTTTAATCTGCAGTAATCTGCAGTAAAACTAAAGTAAAACTTTAATCTGCAGTAATCTGCAGTAAAACTAAAGTAAAACTTTAATCTGCAGTAA